TGTGTTAGGTATCAAAGAGCAAAGATCCCATTGTAAGGGCGTGTTGGGTTTGGAAGGCATTGCCAGACTCTCTTCCCTGTTTTGCACTCCCGCTGGCTGTTAATGAGCACGCCTGTTGCTCCACTTCCTCTCCAGCATTTCAGGTGGTCAGTGTTCTGGATGTGGGTGATTGTAATGAGCAGGTAGCTGGGTCCTTGCCTTCACTGTGTTCAAGTCCTAGCATCTGCAGCAGACGAGTGCTGGGCAGGAGCAGATGCGGCATACACACTCTGATCTGGACATTTCTTGGTGCTTCCTTTGTACATGATGGGACTGTGACCCCCCTCACTGGTGGGCAGCCCTGGACCAATTGCCATGTACAGCGATGAGTGTAATCAGAGTTGGCTGAACTCCCCCCAGAGCTCCTGTAGGAAGGCTTGGCCAGGCATTGGCCAGGCAGGCAGTCTGGAGAAAGTTAGAGCATGCAGTATGACAGTGGGAGGCAGGAAAGCACCTGACACAGCGTGGGGACCTGCACAGAGCAGAGGCAGGGCATTTAGGAGTGGGAGTGAGTTAAGAGAAAACCTGGTTGGAAATGAGATGAAATGCAATGTGGAATGCCCCCTATCTCAGATCAAGCAGCTAAACTGGGCCATGTGCACTTCAGGGCTTTCGGCAGCGGTTGCCACAGTTGAGCTGGAGGTTTAGGAAGCTTTCGAGGCTGCTCACTATGTCTTTGTGGCTGGGAGGGTAACGCAGGCATGCAGCTGATGGTGGGCAGACATGGCAGACACTAGTTTTGTGTAGGGCTGCAGGGAAGTCGGCTCCAGCTGAATCCAGAAGACAAGCAGCCCTGGTAGAGCACCATGTCCCAGGTGCTGCATACTAGAGCAGGTTGCAGGCCCTAACCGTGCTTGTGGCTCTGGAACGGGGCACACCATGCTGAGTTCAGCCACCACCTCTTGGTGGTAGGATCCTATGTTCTGTTCTCCCATGTGAGGAGCTCTGCTTCTGTGGTCGTAGAAGCTCAAGGTCTGAGGTCACTGACCCTGGAGTTCAACATCAGCCAGCCTGCTCCACTACCCCATCGCTTTTATTTATAATGTCTTATTTATTTAAAAAGCAGAGCTACACACAGAGAGAAACATCCAGATATAGAGTGAAGTCTTCCATTTGCTGATTCACTCTGCAAATAGTTACAGCAGTTGACACTAGGCCAGGCCACAGCCAGGAGCCTGTAACTCCATCTAGGACTCCCATGTGAAGGCCAACTTTTGCTACTTTCCCCAGTGCATTACCAAGGAATTGGATCAGAAATGGAGCAGTTGGGATTTGAACTTACTGTACCTTAATGCTGCCTGCTGATTCCTGTACACAGCACTGGAATATATCCTTGGTTCCTGAGCTTGTCTCTGGAGTCCTTTGCTGTTAAATCCTCTCCAGGAGGCAGTGTGGGTCACCAAATCATTTTCCCTTGTTTGTGCAATGAGTTTGGAATTCCAAGCCCATTCCCACTGTCTTTAGCTTTAGCTTGCCCAGGGTGGGCTGCATCTCTTACAACACAAGTTCTGACCATTGCAGGGGTGAGGCTGGATGGGGAGCATTGGGTACCATGGTGATGCTGCGTATGCACGTGTGTCCACTGCCTCCTGTGATCCTCCTCTCACGGCCCACTTGCCCTCCCCACAACGCATTCTTCAGGTTCTGTCTAGCTCTGAGCCCCACGCTTTGATTGTCTTTGTCTTGTTGCTGGAGGCATAGCCAGAACAGCTGCTCACCAATAAAAGTTTGGAAGCAGCTCTCTTCCCTGGAATTCCACTGGCATCTCATGGAGGATGTGGACTAGAGTCTCTTTAGGACTCTGTGTCTTTTTAAAAATACTTATTTATTTTTATTGGAATGGCAGTTACGGAGCGAGAAGAAGAGATAGAGAGAGACGCTTTCCATCCATAGAATCACTGCCCAAATAGCTGCAACATCTGGAGTTGAGTGGCCCAATGCCAGGAACCAAGAGCTTCTCCTGGGGTTCCCACATGCATGCAGGGACCCAAGGACTTGGGGACCACCTTTGCTGCTTTCTCTGATCATAAACAGGGAGCTGAAATGGAAGTGGAGCAGCCAGGACTCGATATGGGATGCTATCTATATGGGATACTGGCATCACAGAGAGAGGCTTAGCTTGTTATGCCACTGCACGAGCCATAGATTCTGGGTCTGCTAAGAGTCCATGATGCCTTTGTCTCCATGGGAACGGGAGGGATTCTGTGGCCCTCCACATTCATTATGGAATACAGCACAGATCTCATCAGCTATGCTGCACAGGACCACTGCATAGAGCATGAGGGACATAGTGCTGGTGATATTCAGCGTCATGTTCCCTTGAGGACTGCCCACACCTCTCTGGTCCCATGCCCCCAGGCTATGGCTTGACTTCCTGGCTTGTTTCATTTGTTAAGTGGACATTTGCTGGGTTAGAGCTGTGCAAGCAGTCATTCAATGATGTTATTGAGCCCTGATTGGTTCAGGCTGCCAACCCCAGAATATCGAGGAGTGTGTAACAACCAGGGACCCATGGCACGGCATTGCCGACCTGCTCCTGGGGGCCTTGCCTTGGGGCCTGGGTCTAGCAATACATTTTGTGAACTGCTCCTGTCTCTGGATGTCAGGAGGGAGTCCTTTTGTGAGCCTTCTCCCTCTTGCCTTGTCTGGTATGGACCAGGGAACATCCACGGATGCCAGCCTGTGGGCACTGGTGGGGCCAAAGCACCTATGGGTGATGCCTTTGGGAAGTTTGCCACAGCTTGTGACACCAACCAACCTGTCCCAGGCTCCCAGCTTTGGATCCCCATGGACACATTGTCACTGCAGGCTCAGCCCCACTTAAGGTAAATCCTATTTCCCTCAGAGCCACGCCCCTGGGGGTGGTACACATTCATGGCCTTCACTCTTCACTTTCTCTTTGCTTCTCAACAGATGCCTGAATCTGTTATTGGTGAAATCATGACCAGCATGGCCATCACCATGAGGTATGACTTCTCATTGTATCATTTCTTGGCTGTTTGGAGCTTGATGCCATGGCCCTGGAATTCATCCTTCCATTAGCTTCCATGACTCTGGTGTGTGCCATCCTTGTACTTCCCAGTAGCAGTTACATGTGTGCTTATGGCTTCAGCTGTCAGTGGAAAGCCGAGCATCCCCAGGTGCACACCTCCTCCACCTATATACTAGCCCAAGAAATGTCCTGCATGAGCTTTAAGCCCAAGTCCAAGACCAACTGGCCCTTCTCTCACGCTCCTGCTGGATTCCTCCACTTTCCTGTTGCAAACCACTTGATTTGCATCCGACTTGCTCTTGTTCCTTTTGCTTGGATTATTACAAGAACTTTCCTTAGGAGCTCTCCCGGCTTGATTTGCTGCCCAGTGGCACCTTTTCTGCCACAATCCTAAGCCTGACCTTGAGTCCTTTTTAAAAGATTTATTTTATTTATTTAAAGGCAGAGTTGAGAGATAGAGAAAGATATTCCATTTCCACTGGCTCACTCCCCAGATGGATGCAGTGGCTGAAGTTGAGCCAGTCCAGAGCTAGGAGGCAGAAGCTTCTTCCAATTCTCTCCCATGGGTGCAGGAGAAGCTCCTTAGCTCTCATCTGCTGCTTTTCCCAGCATATGAACAGGGAGTTGGAGTGGAAGTGGAAAAGCTAGGACTCAAATTAGTGTATGGGATGCCGGCATCTCGGGCAGCGGCTGAACCCACTGTAACACAGTGTCAGTGATCTTGGCTGTTAGCATTTAGTGGTCACCTCCCACCCACCCTGACCCCTGGCAGCCACCATAGTGCTCAGCCCAAGGTCAATGCCCCTTGAAAGGACACTCAAGGGCTTCTGTCACTAAGAACAGGCAGACACTGCAGACTGGAGGTTTGAGCTGGGCCACAGGGAGGAGCCAGGGGCCAGTTCAGAGACAAGCTCTTCTTCCCTGCAGTGCGCTGGACCAGGGCTGTGGCAGTGACTGACAGCCTCAGGCAGGAAGTAATGCTGCAAACCAAACAATGAAACTTTTTTTTGTGTGTGGAAAAATTGGTTTATTTATTTGGAATTAAATTCCAGGTTGTATCACATGCATTATTAAATAAATATCAATCCAACTTTTTTTTCCATCTCATTTTAGTATTTAATATATGGAGAGATCTCTGGTTGGTAGGAACCACTAGAAACAAATATGTTCCAAGGCCAATAGTGCAAACAGGAAGCTAAATTTTTGAAAAAACCACCCAGAGTTGTAGGTTAATGGTTTGAAGAACCATCAAAGCCCCCACCTAAGGCACAGAGAATTTGGGGTTGAGAACAGTGAAGAACAGAAAATAGCTTTATTGCTTATACATAACCAAAAAGTTAATTATGACCTCCCCGGCCAAAAAAAAAAAATTAAAAACCAAAAACAGGAAAGATGTGTATTCCTTGGGAAGGAGATAAGCCTGTTGGAATGGCAGAGGAACACCAAGACCCAAATAAAGCCAGCTTCATGGAGTTGCCTTGTTCTAGTGGCCCTCTGTCCCAAGTCCATGCTTAGAATCAGTATTCATAGAACACATATGAAATGCCAATTCATGGCTGAAAATTCCCAACAAAGATTCCGTATGCTCCAAGGAAACATTTGCTTTAGCTTCAGAGGTAGTGACTACTCTTCTTTCCTTTTAGTTTGCCCACGTGGGACAACTGAGTATCAAAGTATATTTCAAATAAATATCCCCAAAGATAGCACCCACTCATAATCAGGGATAGGGCACATCTGGCCAACCATGTGTAAAACCAAGCACTTTATTAGAAACCTGTTTCATAAAGAACAAACGTGGCAGTGAGGACTATGAAATACCACTTCATGGAATGCTGTATTCTGTTGCTGGTGTTAAACAGTCACACTAGCATGAAGTATCTATTTCGTTGGGGAAGTGAGGCCTGGGAGGATCACTTACCTGCACTGTAGCTTAACAACTGATTACTGGCGGAACCAAGAACAAGAGACTGAGTTTGCAAGATTTTTTACTCAGCCCATTAAGTGACAGCCAGAGATAAACAACAGTGAAGGTCATTTGATGTTTTCGCCCTTCACCAAAGTTTCACGTGTGTTCTGCCAGCCTTCTCAGGGGTAGCCTGGTTTAGGAATTAACACAGTAGGGGTCAACAGTACAGCAAGGGGAAATGATGTGGCCTCTGCTTGGTGCTTAAACTCTAACGGCAGACTGGAAGAAATGGTAATGTCCCCGAGAAGCCTGTTTCCATTTTTAAATGATTAACTTAGTTTCAGGGGAATCTTTAAAATCAGTAATAAAATTTAGAAATAAACAAGGAAGATAACATTCAAATGGCACTTGCTGCCCCGAATCCTGTTCAGGACAGCGTTAGACAGATGTTCCTAATGCTTTCTCACTTTCTACAACTGAAGTAATAGTCGCAAACACACATCCATTTAAACAACATAGAGCAATGTAACTAGAAAACTACTTACCACCCAATTACCGTGTTTGGGGAGTGGGGTATATTAACTAGCTCTTGACCCCGTCCAGCAGGGAAATTTGAGAAAATCCTAGTCCCTTCTAGCAACAAGTCAATGAATGTTACCACAAAGGGAAAAGGTATGTTCCTAGGCCAGTTTCTTCATTAAATAAACTGGACCACAACTGTAGGGTCAAAACATAAGGATCAAAGCACCTAGCATGAAAACAGGTCAGCTGTGAAACCTGCTGTGTTCCCATCATTCTGTTCTATTCACTGATGGCTCCAATCCACCTCCTGATCCCAGCCATTCGTTTCTCCAAATTCAACATTCTCATGTGTATACAGGCCATCATTAGGTTCAGCTTTCTATTAGTTTGGGATATATATTCTCTATACTATAGGTAATTAATCACCAAAAAATAATCTCTTCAAGAAGCCTTCGTAACATAATACCAGATTCTCCACTAACAAGTGGGGATCAGGTTTAACAGGCTTAAATGGAAGACAAGAAGGCTGTCAGAACACATACAGATGGCACAAAACAGCTCTGACCCTCTGCAGTGAATGAGTCACTGGCAAAACCCCAAGGCATTGAGTGCTGTCAATCTCCAGTCACTTGAGAAACAATTTCTTTCCCATTTAGTCATCCTCTGAGCTCTCAGCAGACCTTTCATCTGTAGCCACTTTCCAATTTGTGCGTTTGTTTGTCCTCCGCTGTATTTCATTGTTAGCTACAGGAATATGGACTTTATCCCCACTTTTCCTTTTGGCCTTCTTAGTGTCTCTTTCCTCACTCTCCTCAGAGCTGCTGGATGCTGAATCGTCTGACTGTGAAGTGTCATTTTCTGCTTCCATGATCGAAGCAGGTTTTTTGAGAGACTTTTTCCTGGATTTTTTCTTGCGCTTATGTGGTTGTTTCCGTTTCTTGGTACTAGAAGCTCCAGCGTCTGAGCACTCACTTGATGAATCTGCTGTTACATCTGTGGCTTCCTTTTTGCTTTTCTTCCGTTTTTTTTTTTTTTTTTGTGTGTGTGTGTGTGACCGTTTTTTCTGCTTCTTTTTGTGCGATTTCTTCTTCTTGTGTTTGTGAGATTAGTGAGTTGATGACTTTACTTGGGGAGAAGCTTTTTTCCCATTGGTAATATCTTGATGACCACTGTCTGTTTCAAATTCTTCAGGGTACAACTCTTTATAACCACTGTGACCCCATCTGTCTGGCACGTTAGCTTCATAATCATATAACTTCTTGTTCCGGGATTTAGCCTTAAGAAAATCGTCCTCCAGTGTCCCAGAAACTTCATTCTTTGGCTTCCAGTACTCTCTCTGACCTTCTTCATCAAAGCCATCACTACGCATCCGGCTTGAACTGCTGGGTAGCATTTTCCTTTTGTTCCCCCGGTAAGCATCTCCCATCTGTTTCTCTAGTTCTCTTATTTTCCACATATCTGATTCCTCCTGAATCTTATTGTGAGCATCTGTGCGCCGGATGACATTCCTCAGGAGGACTTTTCCCAAGGGAACACGGGACATCCTTCAATCCCTCGATCCCGAGGTAATCAGGCATCTTGTTAGTGCGAAACGAAGAAACACTTCTTTACAAGCTCTCCTCCGACCCAGGGCAGCTTCACCTTCCCAGCGCTTACGCCCAGGCCCAGACTGCCTCTCTCCAGCCCTGCCCGAGATTGGAGGGCATTCCCCGCCGATGCTCCGCTGGGCCCGACACCGCCGGGGAGGGTTGGGTTGGACTGCCCAGGACAAGAATGGAGGACGTTGTGGATGGGCACAACCTTCCGTTGGGCCCCAGGAAGTGTCTACGGCGTCTGAAGGGGCCTTCGGGGTTTCCACATAGAAGACAGAGCGGACACCCCCATCTCCGTCACCGGGAGCCCAGCCCCCCGGCGACCTCGGGGCTCCCGGGAACTGTCCCTAGCAACTCCCGCCCTACACAAATACACACAAACACACCCATACCGTGCGCCGCAGCCTCGCGTGGCTGGGGTGGGGGAGCGTGAAACTTGACTTTGGTGTCCAGGGGAACCAGGCTTGTCTGCCTGTCATTTAAGAAAGCAGGGCATCACCATGTAAATCTAGATGGGGAGAGGTGGCCATAGCTAGAGACAGATGGGGTGGTGGAGAGAGAGGGAGAAGGGTGAAGGAGAAGAGGAAGGCAGGCAGACCCCTGCCCCCTGCCAGTGCTTTGGGCCTTGGTGGAAGCAGTCCTGTCTTGGACTCAGGGCCTTGTCACCTGATGTTACTTCCTCTACTATTCCTCAGCAGCACTGTTGACACTGGACTTCACAGCATTTGTATAAACCCGCACGAAACAATGAACAAATGCTTGCACTCCTGTGCAAACATACAAACTTCCTTCTGCAGACGGGGGTCAGGAGACTTTTGCCAGTGCACTGAGAAATATGTAACAGGTGCCGAGTCCAAATGAGATGTGGGCCTGCTGCTGTGCCCTCCTTGCCACCAGAGGCCAGCAGCCCAGATCCACCTGTGTCTCTGGGTGTCAGCTGCTGGGCTCTGATTGTTTTGTTAGCAGACCTGATGGGAAGCAGCGGGTGGGGTGGTGTGGGGTGGTCTGTATGCATGGAGTGTGTGACCCAATTACCAGCCCCAGATGGGAATTGCTGGAGGGCAAGCTTGCTTCCTGGTAACCAGATGGCCAGGGAGGCTTGGTTCCCTGAAGAGATGGTCTCCCCAGGAAGCAGTTTGCTGGGGCCTTCTGAGCCAGGGGGAGGGGAGAACCCAGAAGGTAGGTTGCTTATGGCAGCTGGTGTGTGTGATCCAGCTGGCTTCTGCCTGCAACAGCCAAGGCTGGCCCAGGCTAAAGCCAGGTGGGAGCTCCATCTGGATCTCCCACAGCCTGGTTGGGAGGGACCCAAGCACTTGAGCTATGGCTTGTTACCTCCCAAGAGTGTGGGTAAACAGGAAGCTGGAGTGAAGGGTGGAGCTGGGAATCAACCCAGGCACTTCAGGCAGGGAATGTGGGCATCATAGTGGCATCCTAACTTTTACGTCAAACCCCTCCCCTTGAACAATATTTTGAAATAAGGTTATTAAATCATGGAGTAGGCTGCCCACTGTGCACTGGCACATTTGTGGGGGGAAAAAGAGCATCATTGGCAACACAGAAGCAAATTCTCAGAAGTTACAGGTTTGGAGTTTTTTTTATCTGCTCTCTTGGTGTTGTTTACATCTTCCTTGTCATCTACAAAACACAGACACTACATCTACGATCAGAAAAAGCTCCTTTACAAGCCCGCGGCACATACTGGCAAGCACGGGATCCAGGGTAGGGGACAGAACTGGTGGGGGTTATGGGAAATCGCCCCAATTAGGCTGCAGCTCGCACTGGTTTGTGTGAGGACCGAGTATGAAGTGGGTAGGATTGAGCTGGACTACAACACCCATTGGTTCACGAGGAAGACAGCGCTGGAAACAGAACTGACCCAGCAACAGCAACGACCAGCATGTGTATAAGCTGATTGGTGTGACGGACGGTGTTGGAGTCTGTACTAGCAAACTCACTCAAGAATCAGATCTGGGATCATCTCAGATGAAGTTTCTTTGGAGATCCCTCCAACTGAACTGCTGATCTTGGAACCACAACCATCAAGAGACTGTCAGCCAGTGGACTCTGAATAGGTTTCACTGCGATTGGAACTGTGAGATTGGCAGCAATCCAGAACTGTTGAACTATCAAAACTGTTTGAGCAGGACCCTAGGAGCGCACCTCCTGTTGGGGGATCTGGGATGGGTGGGAGGCTGGGTGGGGCTTTTCCCTTTGTTTCTCCCCTGACCTCAGATACAGGCAAAAAACAATCATGTTAGTGTGGAGACAATGGTATTACCCACTTTCACCCTGTAGCCCTTGACCCTTTGTACCCTAATCAACTAAGATTATTAAAATTAATTAAAAAAAAGAAAGAAAAAGAAAAAGCTCCTTTAAAAACTCCTGCCCTTGGGCCTGGTGAGGTAGCCTAGTGGCTAAACTCCTTTCCTCACATGCACTGGGATCCCGTATGGGTGCCAGATCATGACCCACAGTCCCACTTCCCTGCTTGTGGCCTGGAAAAGCAGTGGAGGACAGCCCGAAGCCTCGGGACCCTGCACCTGCGTGGGAGACCTGGAAGAGGCTCCTGGCTTTGGATCAGCTCAGCACCAGCTGTTGTGACCACTTGTGCGTGGAGGGGTGTGGCTCAGCAGACAGAGGGTCTTTGTCTCTCTTTCTTGCCTGCCCTTGGGGCTGGCAAACCACCGTCTGTAGCGCTAGCAAACCATATGGGTGCAGGCTCGAGCCCTTAGCTGCTCTGCTTCTAATTTAACTCGCTGCTAATGCACCTGGGAATACAGCAGAGGATAGCTCCAGTCCTTGGGCCCCTGCACCCATGTGGGTGGCCCAGAAGGAAGCTCTTGGCTCCTGGTTTTAACCTAGTGTAACCCCACCTGCAATGGCCGGAGCCAGGCAGTTCTGAAGCCAGAAGTCTGGACTTAACCTAGATCTTCTTCCATGTAGGTACAGGGGGCCCAGCACATGGCTCATTCTCTGCTGTTTTCTTAGGGGTATTAGCAGGGAGCTGGATCAGAAGTGAAGCAGCCAAGACTTAAACCAGACAGCCCCTGCATGAGATGCTGGTGGTACAGGTGGAGGCTTAGCCTGATACACTGTGGCGCTGGTCCGTATTCTTCTGTTTCTGTCTGCTTGCTGACCATGGGTCTGGGATCCCTGTTGCCTGCCAGGGCTCTCCCTGGGTCCCTGGTCCCTGGTTGCTTCAGTTAGACCCAGGCAGTCTGCCTTTTGCTTCCTTTTCTGCAGCCTTCTTAGCATGCACACAGTATAGTTTCAACACAAGTTGTATTATTTTTTCCCCAGGTGTGTCACAAATGGTACCAACTTCACATCTGAAAAGGAGCAATGGATGCATTCACTATCTGGGAGTCAAGGAGGCCTGGGGTGGGGGTGGGGAGCACCTCTTCCTGGGATCTTTTAGCTTCTGTGGCCTCAGGCACCATGTGTGGCAGTCTTTCCATGCTGTCTGCCCACCTGTTTGCTCTGCCTTCTCCTCTTTGTGTTCCAGCACTGGAATTCCTACCTGGCAAAGCACTAGGACCCAAACTGAGAAAGAGTCCCTGCAGCTCAGCTGTAAGAAGGTGCCTGACTAAAATGACTCGGCCAAGAGGTTCTTGTGAGGTCCTTGATTGATCTCTTTCCATGTATAAAGGCCACTGGTTCAAATGAGGACACAGTTACAGATATCTGAGAATTTGAATGTGGATGTAGCTTTTTTTAGGAGGCCACCATGCCATGTACTATGGAATCAGAAGAGTCAGAGACCTGGGACTGTCTTTATCTGGCTGGCTTGGCATAACCCTTCTTTATTTTAAAGATTTATTTATTCACTTTAAAGGCAGAAAGTTAGAGAGAGGAATGCAAAGACATCTTTCATTCGCTGGTTTACTTCTCAAATGACCAGTGCTGGGCAAGGTGGAAGCCAGGGTCCAGGAGCTTTCTCTGGGTCTCACGTGGCTGGCAGAGGTCCAAGGATTTGGGTCATCCTTGACCACTTTTCCAGGTTATGAGCAGGGAGTGGAGCATGGAAGTGGAGCAGCTGGGCCTTGAACCGGCATCTATGTGGGATTTGCTTCCTCTGCCACAGCCTCCGGCCTGACCGTCTTACCCCACAGACAATTACTGCAGACTTTCATCCTTCTTAATTCCTGGTTTCCCAGATGGAAGTGGGAAAAATGGAGTGCCCTTATTTTCTCCCTGAAAACTTTCCATTCACCTATCATGAGCCTTTTGGCTGATGGAGCATCCATGTCCTGAGCCAGGGGTGTTCCTTGGTTCTCCCTGGTAAACAGGTTACCATCTGGGAATTCAAGTCCTGGGGTGAGGAGGGCTGGGGTGGGCTGCCAGCTGAGCCCATCTGAAGGCAGAACCATGTCCTGGGATGCAGCAGCAGGCAGAAAGCAGCTCTGCAGGTGGGCGCTTTAGGGGAAGAACCCAGAGTGGCTAGGGAGTGAGACAGCCTGGGAGACCCCGGGGGAGCTGAGGGGAGAATCAGAGCTCAGTAAACAGTGGTCACCTGGAGGCTGGGGCTGGAGAAGGGACCCAGGAAGTCCCTGAAACCTCTTCAATACACAGATCTAAAAATGGAGGCAAAATTAATTTGTTTCTTTTTAAAAGCAGGTCATTTAATGAAATTTGTACTGAAGTCAACCTCCATATATAAAAGTATGCAAATTTCAAGTGCATGAGCCGATAAATTTGTGCTGAGTAAACCTGACAGAACCCAGATCAAGGAACAGAACTTCACAAACACCCAACAAATGCACCTGTGTCCTGTGCCAGTCATAATCACCCAACAGGAGCCACCTTATTGCCTGGAGTTCCTTGGGCATTGCCAGCAGACAGTGCTCCTCTCCTGAGTAGGACCACGTGTAGACAGGTGTGTGTGACACACTCCTGGCCAGCAACAGGCCTTCTGGCAGCACGGAGAGCAGACCTCTGCAGGTCAGCAGGCACACTCAACCTCACGGCC